TGAAGGATGCATATTTTCACATCCAGATAGCCCCCGTCACAGGCGATTCTTGAGATTCGCCTTCGGGGGAGTGGCTTATCAATACACGGTCCTTCCCTTTGGACTGTCCCTGGCCCCCCGCACTTTTACGAAGTGCATTGATGCAACTCTCTCCCCTCTGAGACAGATGGGAATCCGCATTCTCAGTTACCTCGACGACTGGCTCATTCTGGCCCAGTTAGAGACAGAATTAATATCACACAGGACCCTCCTCCTCAGCCACCTGGAGTGCCTGGGACAAATGAAAGCTGTAGTCACGCCGAAACGGGCTCTGGCCATATGGAGGCTGGCGACCTCCTTTGAGATTGGTACCACTCGCCCTCTCAAAGCGTTTCAAAGGATGCTGGGCCTCATGGCGGCAGCATCGCCAGTGCTACAGTTGGGTCTGCTGCGTATGCGCCTCCTTCAGCGCTGGTTAAAACCATGGGTTCCATCCCATGCATAGCGGCCCTGACCCCCTGGAAGAACTCCCGTTGGATGGAACAGGGCGTGGCCATGGGGATGGTTTGCAGAAGGACAGTTGTCATGACAGACACCTCCAATTCAGGTTGGGGGGCGCTGTGCGGGGACATACTGACTTTCGGCCACTGATCGAAGGCGGAAAAGGGCTTCCACATCAACTGCCTGGAAATGCTAGCAGTATGTCGAGCCTGTCAGTTCTTCCTGCCAGTCCTAAAGGGGCACCATGTGCTAATCCGATCGGACAGCATGTCTGTGGTGTCCTAGATAAATCGCCAGGGAGGCCTCTCCTCAAAGCATCTCTTCACTCTGGTATGCGCTTCTTAGAATGGGCTCAACCCAACCTGCGCTCGCTGAGAGCAGCGCATATACCGGGCAAATTGAACCAAGGAGCGGACATGCTATCAAGGAGCAATGTCCCCTCAGGGTAGTGGACCCTCCATCCGCAGACGGTTCAGAGGATCTGGGAGATCTTCGGCGAGGCCGAGGTGGACCTCTTCGCCTCAGAAGACAACTCTCACTGCGCAATTTATTTCTCAAGGACCAGGGACGCGTTGGCCCACGATTGGCCCAACCTCCTTCTTTATGCTTTTCCCCCGATCGTTCTGATCCCACAGGTAATCAGGCGAGTGAGAGAACAAAAACACAAGGTTCTCCTGTTGGCCCCCCATTGGAAGAAACAGCTGTGGCTATCAGAGCTAACTCAGCTATTGAGATCTCAGATGCCTGAATCACGCCCTCATGAAAAGGTCGTTCAGGATGATTACGCTGAAACAGATCCTTGCGCAAATTCGCTCAGGGGACTGGTTCTTTTCTCTGGACCTGAAGGATGCATACTTTCACATCCAGATAGCCTCCCGTCACAGACGATTCTTGAGATTTGCATTTGAGGGAGTGGCTTATCAATACACGGTCCTTCCCTTCGGGGCTGTCCCTGGCCCCCCGCACTTTTATGAAGTGATCTGAGACAGATGGGAATCTGCATTCTCAATTACCTCGACGACTGGCTCGTTCTGGCGGGTTACATCCCATACGTGGCGTCACGGAATATGGCATCCTCGGCCCGACCTATGGGCCCTGCACTTCTGGCTGCTTTACGGGAGCCTTCAAGCCTCCCAGAGCGAGTCTTAAACACAATTTTGGAGGCTAGAGCTCCGTCTACGAGATGCCTCTACGCCTTAAAGTGGTCTTTTTTCTCCGCTTGGTGTCTAAACCGTGGCAAAGAACCTCATACTTCTGATTTGACAGAGGTGTTGTAATTTCTGCAAGAGCTGCTGGATAAGGGACGTTCCTCATCCACGCTCAAAGTCTACGTGGCGGCTATAGCGGCCTCTATGCAACATCAGATCGTCCTGAAACTGGCTGAGTGACACTCTGGGGTAGTGGACTAATAATCTGAATTGAAATTAGTCTGTGGAAACAGGTAGTTTCCTTTATAGAGCTATTCAAAATCAAAGACAAAACCAGTCATTTGAGTTTTTGGAGGGCTTTTATTTTGTAATGGGAAATCAGACAGTCCTGACATTGGGGAAATGACATTCTGGACTGGTCTACTGTTACTGGTCTACATACTGTTAATCAAAAGTTTAACTTTTTTGTGAAAACAGGGAGTTTTCTTTTTATAACTATGTGAATTTACAGATAAATATGGTTATATGCAAGTTCATGAATGGGGTTTATTTTGTTATTTCTCATCAGACAGTTATTTTTATTTTATTTGAAAATTCTACATTTAATATTACTCAACGTTTGAAGGGATTTTCATTTTTATCAGACCGTTTTTTAAACATTTGTATTATTTTAAATATATCCATTCATTCATTCATTCATTCATTGACAGAGAAACTGGCTCAATGAATGAATGCCAGAGATCGCTTTTCCTTTGATCTGAGTTTTACACGCTATTACCGTGTAAAAATTAGTATATGCGCGCACCACAAAACAACGTGGCGGCTAGAATTACCGTGTTTTTCAAAATGGAGGCTGGCTTGACCACAGTCCATTTCCTCACTACTAACTATTCCTATCTCAACCTGGGGGTACTCTGGTTTGGGCCAGTTTCCGAGCTCGAAGCCCTCCCCTCGGACAGCACGCCAAATATGCATAACCTTTACTCTGTTTATTAAATGTAAGTGTGAACTTGTGAAACATAGGCAAATCTGTCAATTAAACCGTAGTAATAACTGAATTGATTTTTGATGGTCTAATCTGTCAACTCTTTCATCACAGGCAAAATATAATTATTTTGTGATTTCATATATATTGTGATTTCATATTTCCAAATATATTTATGTTCTTAATAATTATATAAGATTTATATAAGATAATATATAGTCTATGGGGGGGGGGATATGTAACAGGACTTCTTTATGTATGACAGAGATCTGAAATTTATTCTGTTGAACTGATAGTCTGTTATGTCTATCAATCTTAATATCAACTCAATGTCATATATACAATTCTATAATGTATTGTAATTTACAGTATGTCAAATAAAAAATGTAACATTGTCATCATGTCATTGATAAAACATTGTATTACAAATATTTATAATGTATATTTAGATTTTTAAAAGACCTGAATATCAGACTTTGTCTATTTGAACATCTAAAAGAACTACGTTTGCATGTAACCTGATTACTATAGCTGCATTCTTTTTTTTTCTCAGCTGTCATTGGTAGTCCACATTGAAACAAATATTTAAAATAGAGCTGCTGTGCTTTTTCTCCACAATAGTTACCAGTTGAGATAATCCATAAAGTAGCCTATCTGTCGATTTATTTTCACTGAGATGTCTATGACAGAGCATTCACTCCAGATTGAAAAAATAGATGATGAATCAACATACAAATGTAGATTAATTTTCATTAACCTTTACAAAAAGGAATGTGTGCAATTAGAACAAACCACAGAGGAAAACTTCTCCCTCTTTGATTAATCACTTGCAGTTAATAAACTGAAATTAATCAGCTAGTTAATTTATAGTTAATAAACTAAATTCGATCAATAAAACTTGCAGTTTAACTGGTTCTTTCCTTTTGTCAAAATCCTTTTGTCTCTGAAGATCTTATGGAGGGTTTCCGTCTTTCATATGCTGATACACAGTGTGTTACACAATGTTCATCTACTGCTCTTCAGCACTGCTGATTGTCTGCAGAGGTTCAGAGCATTGACTTCCAGCTGATATGATGAGTGCTAGTAAATGAAAGATCATGAAAATGAGATCATGAGCATTTCACCACATAACAGTTGAGAAAACATGAGATTTATAATGCACTATTGCATTTTTTTAAACTGTGTGAGTGTCTACACATTAACCTGTGTGTTTTCTTTTATAGTAGATCAGTCCTCCAGCTGCCATAATCACCCCCAACACCACCCCTGCGGCACCAGTTATGAACTTATTCCTGTCAGACTCTGACAGCGATGAATCTGCAAAGTAAAATAAAATATTTCGTTTTTTTATGGAATGCACAAAATTCTTCCGCTAAGTCTAGAAGATGCCGTGAGATAAAATTGCCATTGATAACCAACAACCCAGTGAGTAGGAATTGTAGGAATTCCTACTAAAATGAAAGAGTTCAACAGCACCAATGAGCAATAATAATATGCTCCTGAACAAGATTCCTCTGTGGTTGGTTAAATTGTTTAGGCTATGCAACAAACAAAATTTCCTTTTTAATCTTCTGAAACTAATAAGCAATATCTTCTGTAGGAATCAAAGTTTGTTTCCAGAGTCTTTGTAGTGCTGTGTGACTTTGGCTATTGTTACAGTAAGATGAAAAAAAATAAGGGAACAAGTAGATAGTAGAAACTATAGTTTGGTTTCTGTGGTCGTCTTTTGCAGTATCAGCTCTGTTCTTACCCAAGTCATAGATCATGGGTTTATGGGAGCTGGCGTGCTCCACCACACAGGAGATCTTCTCTCCAGGTTTAGGGAAGTATTCCAGGTGGGAGTGGATCTGGTAGTACCAGTCTCCATCAGCCAGCTCCTCGGTGGACGTCACATCAGTTGTCACCTCTTTATCATCTCTCATCCATGTCAGTTTGATGGGTTTAGGGTAGAAGTCATAGGCACTGCAGATCAACATGGCTGGATTTTTACCACTGGCTTGTCTTACTGATCGGACTGTGACTTCTGGTTTTACTGTAGACATGATGACATCATTTTTGTGTTTTACATTGATTCATGCGTGTTTCAAAAAGTTTTTAGTGTTTAATGCATCTCACCTGTTTTTTCTACCTCAGGGAGGTATAGCTGCCCAAAGCGCTTGCAGTCGGCAATAGCTTTTTCAGCCTCCATGTGTAGCCACTCAGGTTTTTTATTAAAATCATCTGCCCATTTCATTGCGTATTCAGTGTAAGCAGCAACTTTATTCTCAGTACTGTTGAATCTCAGCAGTTCTTTTTTGTCATAATTGATTGAGTAGATAATCTCAACATTTTGTAGAGAACCAAGTACACGGCAGAGAACTAGGATGAATCCATAATGTCCATGAACTAAGAAAAAAGTAGCCAACAAACCATTAGAAAGTTCTATAATCATATATCTCCTGATACAGTCAGTTGAACTTATAAAAATAGTTATATTTAAGTAGAGATATTTCTATCTGCAATTTCAACTGATTTTTATTATAGACTAATTTTTTTAATTCATTTTTAGAATACAGATTTTCTTATTGAAGTATGAACAGAAATTTCATGTAGAACTATTTCATTATTATTAAAAACATACTATATCTTACCTGTTTCAAACAAAACGGGCAACAACAAGGCCAGGCATATCACACGATCATACTGCATTGTGCATTCAGTGTTGTTTTACTGGCATGCAGATGGAATGAGCTTGACTGCAGTTACAGTAAATGCCAGCCCAGTTTGCCATCTCAACTCGTCAAACTGGAAAATCAAGCTTCTGACTGACCCACATAACAACATGTGATTAAGTTACTTAGACTGGAACATTTTTCACAAGAGCTCAACTGAAAAAAAAAGCGGAAATTAAAGTTCAGTGGGCATTTGCTGGCAAATAGACATTGTTTATAAACTCATTGTTCATTTATTTGACTCCAATAGTTTTGTCATTTGGGTTTCTCCAACTGAGGACACACAGGAGATGTCAGGTCACTCTCTCACTCCAAAAAGTTTCAGATATACAAGTTTCTAAATTGCGGAATGTTTCTGTTGTTGCCCCAATACTATACCCTTTGTTTGTTTCTTTCCTTTATTTTTTATTTTTTGCTGATAGGGAGCTGTCTGACTCTTTTTTGGAAAAATTTGACATTATATGCATTACCAACAAGACTGGGTGTGTAAATTTTCATTCTTGAAGTACATTCTGTGAATAAAAATGGACTCTGCAGTAGGCCTACCTGACAAAACCATCAATGTATCAGAGTAGAATAATATTTTTCTTTAATATACTATTTGATTACAGTAAAATGTCTAATTTTATTGCATTTATATTGATTCATTCAGGTGAATATGCTCTGCATATGATATTATCTAATTTTCTCATACCATTGTGTGACTGAACACTTAGGGCCCTATCATACACCCGGCGCAATGCAGCACCATGGCATCACCCTGGTGCCATTTTGGAGAATATCCGCTGGACGTAAACAGCGCATGCTATTCTGTGTCAGCTGCATCACGCCGGATCTGTTTCCTACGTTGTTGTGATTTGATCTGAACGGAAACAGCGTATCCGTGTGATGCAGCTGACACAGAACAGCATACGCTGTTTATGTCCAGCGGATATTCTCCAAAATGCCGCTACAGGGTGACGCGGAGGAAACGAATTGTTGAATAAAGTCGTTTTTTTTTTTTTTTCTTTTTCTCACAAAAAGTATTCCCGTAACTTTGTAAAATTACAGTTGAACCCCTGATGTCACACAGACTGTTTTATCGATGTCCTTACTGCGTTTCTGGGCCTGGGAGCATTTCAGTTATGTTGCTGTTTATGCAGGGTCAGAAAGCTCTCTCGGATTTCATCAAAAATATCTTAATTTGTTTTTTTTTTTTTCTTTTACGCACAAAAAGTATTCTCGTAGCTTCGTATAATTGCGGATGAACCACTGATGTCACATGGATTATTTTACAGATCTCCTTGCTAAGTTTCTGGACTTGGGAACATTACAGTTGCGTTGCTGTCTATGCAGGGTCAGACAGCTCTCAGATTCCATCAAAAATATCTTAAATTGTGTTCTGAAGATGAACGAAGGTCTTACGGGTTTGAAATGACTTGAGGGTGAATAATTAATGACAGAATTTTCATTTTTGGGTGAACTAACCCTTTAACTTGGTGTGGATGCCCCTCATCTAAAACTGGGTTCCCAAGTTCTGCTAAGCTAAGTGAGTGGCCCCGGGCATAAGTGGTTAGGCCCCTTTCTGAGGAAAGGTTAGGTGTATGTCTGCCACTTCCTTGGTGCTCTCTCACCTGGTTGACAGCCATGTGCTGCGGCATGGCATAGTTGGCATTTAACTCCCCAAAGTGTATGCTAGAGGACGCAGTGCGAGTTCCCTAGAAGGGGAACTCTCAGGTTACGCATGTTTCCATGGTTCCCCGAGAGGGAATGAGACGCTGCGTCTCCTCGCCAAGCCAAGTTGGTGACGTGTTCTGCAGGCACCCTCTTATACTTCTGGGTGCCTGTCTGTGACGTCACGGGCAACATGGGCCAACAGGATTGAAATTGTTTCACACGTTCTTCAGACACCGGTCCTGCTGCCGGCAGTCCCCAAACTGTCTGCTAGAGGACACAACATCAGCATCTCCCTCTCAGGGAACCGTGGTTACAGGCATAACCTGAGATCTTATATTCACTTGTTTGACTATTTCCTAAAGCCACTTATAAGGGTGACAGACTATAGATTAATCTGAGAAACCTCTAAACTGTTGCCATTTTACACTACATGATGAATGAAGCAATTACAAAAAAGCTTCAAACTTTTTGCTGTTTATAGCATTAACTTATATGAATATTGTCATTTTAAACAGCAATTTTTCCATATGACACTGCATCACAATATTTTCTCTCACCCTTTTTTGACTGCCCAGTTACAGTGCAAGTTGCAGTTGCTTTAAATATAAATCTACAACAAAACTTACGAAAAAATTGCATTTAACTTTTTAATGAAATTTCACTTTTATTTGAGAAAAATAAAAGAATATTTTAATATAATAAAATATATAATCTAATGTCACAAGTCCCTTTTCATAGTTCTATAACTCTAAATATTAAACTTGTAAACTATTGTCAATCAGGTAGGAGTATCTAATGCATCTACTATATACAATTCCAAAGTCACCACACTATATGCAACAGTATAATATTATATCATGTCTTATGAAGACTTACATCTATTGTACATTATTTCAGGTGTAACACATTACCTGCTGTGTATTACAATATAGAGCCCTGAAAACATAACTAAATTAACACTAAAATAAATTATTTTGTAACTTTAGCACATATGCAGCTTCACATGAGAACTAAAATAAAAGAACATCTACTATTGTCAATGTTATTGTATCAGTTTCCTTTGGCAATAAAAAAGACTCCCGTGGCGAGACCCAATAGCCCAAGAGCCAGACCAACTCCACAGAACACTGATGGACCATTGCTGGGCTCCATTATCTCTACATCTGCACACAAAGACACGGATATTTGTGAAACTCATCATGTGTTTTAAAGGGGATTAAATGTGAATAATGAATACAAACCCACCCCATGTTCTGGTTTGAGGTTGTTGAAGGGCTTTGTGCTCCACAGAACAGCTGTAAATGTCTCCTTCCTCTGGAATGAAACTCAGTCGAGAAAATACATTCAATGTCCCGTCTTTGTTGGGATAATATCTGCTGAGAGTTGATTCATCTGTCACATTCACATTGTTCTTGGTCCACGAGACTCTGACAGGTGGAGGGAAGAATCCAGTCACATGACAGATAAGGGTGTTCTTGACATTCAACTGTGAATCACTTTTGGGATAAACTGAGCACCAGGGGGGTTCTGGAAAAGATAGAAACCAGCTATCATAATATGACATTTCAAACATTTCAATAAAACATTCTTTGTTTATTTCTGTTTCTATCTCTTACCAGTTGCTTCAGATGAATTGATGTACACCTCTTTAAGCATATCAAAGATGGTTCTACAAATAGATGTAGCTTTTTTAGCATCCTCATACAGTGATGGAAACTCAATCTGGCCAGCAAAGTCAGGTAATGTAATGATTTCTTTCTGTTCTTTGAAGTCAATGTGAGCCACCTGTTCATCATCAAATTGGACAATGAAATCTTCTTGATCTGAGTCACCACATGCTTCAATTTGTCCATATTCATGATAACCTAAAATACAGGTTTAAAGGTTAGATTAAAGGTTAAAGGTTAGGTCAGTGGTCGAATTGTAAAAAAAAATTTCAGGGGCGATGGTTACAAAATGTGTCTCATTTTTAAACATTTTTATTTAATGTAAAATTTGCTTTATTAAATGAACTATGATTTATAAGCTGTTTTCCTTCTGGGGCCTGAAACGGGAGGCGGGGAGGGGGGTTGTCAATAATTATAATTAAACAATATTTTCCTGAATGTGTTTTTGTGTTGGCACCTTGACTGGTTTAGGCCTGTCATGAATAAATATGACAATAAAACCGCCAGTAGGTAGCAGCAAGTCCCTGTTTTAGTAAACGATTAATTTAATCATTCAAATCAAACGATTCGTTCAAAACGGCTGAATCAATTAGAAACTAAACGATCTTTATGGACCGCTGAATCACTTGCTCACTCGATTCGTTCAACAATATATTAATTCAGGAAAGAAACAGTGCAGTGTTGCTCTGCACTGTTGGATAAAATTAATAGCACATTGGTGATTGCACACACGTGCTGATATTCAGGCTACTCTTGCTTGTGTGATTCAAATAAAAAATAAAAACTCATACGGGGTATTTTTTCTTTCACTACTTGGGCATTCTAACTGCATTCTAATTGGCTTTATCACGCCGTGAATGGACTCTTTTGGACTCTCCAGAAGTATGTTTGGTTAGTTTTTTTTTTTTTTTTTTTTTTTTTTTGATAAAAAAAAAAAAAAAAAAAAAAAGTAAATGATGACAGTATTTTCATTTTTGGTTGAACTAGCCCTTTAAATCTTAGGTTTAGATTGGGTATAGTGTTCATATAAAACTAAATTATGACTGTTCTTTGTCATTGTTGTACTTATTTTACTGTTTTTTTTCGGGATCTACTGGGACAGTGATAAAGATCTACCAGTCGATCGCGATTAACGGGTTGGCGACCACTGGTCTACACAATAATGCCATCTTTCAGTATTTTCTGTCCGTCCCTTTACTCGTAAATCATCATAAGCAGAGAATTTTAACATTTTATTTGAATGATAGTTTTACATAAGAGACAACGTTATTAATCTAAAGGGGATGGTAAGGGGGATGGTGGTTTTACAGTGGATGATGCTTTTTCCCTGTGCATTTACATTGAGTTATTTAGCAACCCCTTTTATCC